AAGATCTTTATTAAAATATTTCCACAACAAATAATGTGAAAAAACACGACTTATAGAGAGTTCTACGACATGAAGAGTGCAAAACGCAACTTGACATGAAGAGAGTTCTATAAAGTATAGCTATTTGAAAGTATATACCAGTACACACCACGATCAAAAACATTTTTAGTTTTCGTTCATGTACTCGTTTAGATTGGTGAAACTGCAGACACTGCATGAGTGAGCTTTGTTGATTGCAATTTGAGTTCGTGATTGTGACGCTGTATTGCAATAAAGTAAGGAGAGTCATTTAAGCATTACGTGAAATAATTTTACAGATTTTTTAACTCAGTATACTTAAATATTTTGATTTTCAGATTTAAAAAAAAAATTTTTTTTGAGGTTTCCACACAGGTTACATAAATGTCAAAATTGACGTGATCATTTTATCACAATCTTGCTAAGTGACGTTAGACCGTCCTGCAATAAACATAAGATTTATATTTAAAGAGTAGGCACTATTGCAAAAGATAAAGTCACAATTTATGAAAGGCGATGTCCTCGTCGGAAACCACACCGAAAACTGTTTTTTGAATTATAGAAAGGTTTTTTTTATGAGCTTCGCTTTAGTTAGTCTATTTTAATGGACATAATGAATACAGTGTTGCGAAGCAGTCGTGCATTTGTTCGCGCATTTTCAAATAGTTCGGTGCGACAATGTACAGTACCGCCACAGCCTCCCAAGAAGCCGGTCAAACAGTTCTTCGCGCCGATAACATGGAAGTCGATGGCGGCGACAGCTGTAGTTGCTGGTGGACTCACCGGCTTTATGCTATACTTACGCCAAGAGAAGCAGCAAGCGATCGACCGCGAGAGAAAAAGACAGCTAGGGAAGGCTAAAATTGGAGGCACATTTGAACTTGTTGACTCGGAGGTAATCTTTGTTGTACAAATTATTTGCTAATTCTCCACAACAACGTGTAAGCCTTCATTGATCATCATAAGCACGATTGGAAGTTTAATAGGCAGTCGAGTTTTCAATGAGTACGAGCTATGGGCGTAGATTTGTGACATATTTTGGGGACTTATTAACATAAGAAGAATTACAACAAAATATTTTTCATTATGTACTATTCCCTGCTAGAATCAAGCAACAGTTAATTATAAAATTATGTTACTAGATGCGAATTTGAGGAACTAAAAATTTTGCCACATTGTACTTTTATCATCAGGGGATTGTCGGGCATGTCATACCTCATTCAAATTGTGCCTAAACCAGGGGGCCAAGCGCCTATTTTCGCAAGGTTTAACCGTACAACATTTGAGGTTATTGTTTTGGTTAATTAATGGTTCTACCGACACACAAAATGCAATCGCGCTATCAGTTTTAATGAACCTAAACCTCAAATTAACCTCAAACTATAACCTCGTATTAAATTTTAAGAGACGTGCCTTGACTTCCTAAAACCGACTAAATTTTACCGTAAAACGCACTGAAATGTCAATATCTACGAATTCAAGTCTATAAAAGAGCGATTTAAAAAAGTGTGTAAAAGAAATGTCATTAAATTCTATTGTAAACAAACATATGTGTTGTGATTTGAACCAAATTAATTGAATTTAGTGTGTTGTTGTTGTAGATAAAACACTCAGAGGCAAGTACCTACACATTGTTTTCCTTTTTTAATATTCTATTTAATAAAATAGTATCTTTTTATACAATCAAATAGGTACGCTAACTACTATTAATTTCGAAATGTTAGCAATGTAGAATTAATAATGATGCTCGTATTTCAGCCAGTGTGGATGCGGTCGGACGGCGAGCGACCACTGTAAGCCAGCTCCATCTTTGCTGGAGTTCGAATCGCACAGAGATTTGGCTTGAGAATGACTTCGCTCGGCGTTGTTCGCGCGTGTTATCAGCACGCCTTTGGTGCGAGTGTGTGGCTATTTTGTGGCCCCGCAATAGATCCCAAAAGGTGAGCTATAATGCGAGGTAATAGGATACAGTGAGTGGATCACTCACCGTTATTGTACCAGAACTCATATCACTATAATATGCAACGTTATTATTGTTATTTAGGTATGGAATGGTATGAAAAGCAGGGTGAGAATCTACGCCACATCGACTGCGGCAGAGGCCCTACCAACCTTCCTAAAGGACACCAACTCTAGCACAAAGTAACTAAATAACTTCAAACATACAATTCAATAACAAACTTTCTCACTCTTTATTATTAATTAAAAAACAAAGTAACTTTCAATTTGAGCAAATTCTTTCCCACTCTTTATTACATCATATCTATTATTTTGTTGACAGCGAGCTGAAGAGTGTTGGAGCAGAGCCGCGTAGAATTCTTATGCATTGAGGAGCTGCGAGCATGCGAAGCATTCTTGCAGCAAGTGAATGCTGGCAGTGTGCAAGCTCAGGCAGCTATTATTTCTGCCAAAGCAGATGATCTGCATGCCCAATCCGTAGCTGCCATTTGCAAAGCAATTACCGAGTTGGTGCCTGCAGTTAACCTTTTTGATAATGACAGGTTTGTTTTCAACATGTTTTCTTAATTCCTGCTGATGATATGTTCAATTGTGGAAATCTGAAAGAGCGTAAGGAACGAAGGTCTAATCTGTAGACTTTTGTCCCCTTTATATTTCCACAGTGATAAAAACATTTTTTTAAATGTATTTTGAAAAGGCCCCTAAACATTCTGGTGTTTATGTTGGCTTCATACTGTATGTATATAAATACCCATCATGCTTTATCTGTCACTACTCTCATGAGAGGTATGGCACAGTCTTAAATTTAGGTCTCCAATCTTACTATATACATATTTTTGTTTCAGACTTCTTTGAAGAATCAAAAGCAAGCTCGCTCTGGAAATGAAGGATGATTTGGGGTAGATTGAGGCAATAAATAAACTAAAAATACACTCTTTTTTTTATTTCAACCTCTTAAAAGTATACATCAATTTAGATATTAAGATAATAAACAATTACAATAGGTATACATCGTCATCTTAGAATGAATACCACATATTTCTATGTAATTTTTTAGGATGAAGATAAAAATATGGTGTGAAGTATAGTAAATGCAATAATGTGTGTAGTTAGCATTTTAATTACTTAAATTATACCTCTTTTAGATACTATATTATTACATTATTAATTTTTATTCAACAAAAATCAGTAAAAACAAACTGAAAATGCATATGTGAGGCTTCACTGTAAGGGGACGATATGTTGTATAAAGTCAAGTGTTAAAAGAGATAAATTGTAACCTTGTAATATATTTTTATACAACTATACATATTTTACCTATATCTGTCATTTTTATTTGATAATAATAACAGGAAATAAGACAAGAACTAATAAATATGATGTACATTGTAAAGCTTATTTTCTCACCGCCTTTTAATACCATCTCTTTCGGCATGCCTTTTAGGAAAGCTGCATATTTATTCATAATAACTGGTTTATTTGAAGCAGCTACCGCTTGTGCCTTTCTGACACTGGCTTGGGAAAGGGTGATAAGCACTTGCCAATGAGGGTCATAGGTACGCCCCAGTCGTAAAAACAATACGAGCTATTAAAATCTGTAACAAAATTAATAATGATTTACACAGCATAGACATTTTGGTTATTATGCAAAACTGAGAACTATCGGATTCCACTTAACCCTTACCTTTGTCTCCACATCCAATGCAACAGACCGTCCTTTAACGAGAATATGTAGGCATAGTTCTTCCACCAATCCTGAAATGAATTCCGTGGACAAATGGTATATCGTTTGCGGAATTTCTCCTCAGACATGTTAAATGTGATCGTCTTTTTATGCTTTTCTTTTATTTAAAGCCCGTTCTTAGGCCACATCCACCTCATAAACACTTTCCAAAACATTTAAGTAACCGTGGAACATCTTTTATATACGATAAACGTAGTGAAAAGTTACTCTCCATTAACTGCCACACAAACCTTGACCTTGCAAAGGTCAAACTATTCCCCCAAGGTTACATGTGAGGTTAAAACGTCAAAATATTTAGCGCGATACCAATTGGCAACGTTTTAGGTTTTGGTATTACCTTTGACAATTAGCGCGATACCAAATGTGCGTTACGTGTCACACGTCTAAGTTTTAGCTTAGGTTTTTGTTTTGACAGTTAGCGCGATACGAAATGTGCACAACGTGTCAGATTGGCGAGGTTGAAGGTTTTGGTTAAACCTTTGACAATTAGCGCGATTGGCCCCCTGTTCATTGTATTCAGTGAACCTGCTTAGAATATAAGTGCTCCCAATTATCAACTTTTCACACAATCATCATCAATTAATTGATTTATTACAAGAATTTTTAGTAGAAGTCGATCTCCTTGTGAAAGAGTTTGTCATAGACCTTATGTCTCAGGATGACAGGCGCAGTGGCTGTGTATTTAGATCTTTGCGATTTAGAGCTCTGAGTAGCACTGCAACTGTCATGTGGCTCGCCATCACATGCACTATTTGTTCGCCTTGTCACTTGTTATCATAAAAGAAAGAAAAATATTTATGGCTTTTATAACACACACACTTTAAATGCACACTCACGCACAAATTCACACACATACTCATGCACATATTCACGCACATACTCACATTTTAAACCCATCACACGTACTAGAGATACACTGTGTCCCCAACTTATTTGGTACTGTAGCAACCCACAGAAGAACCACACAATGTCACTAACTCATAGCTGCGTTTTTATCCACTATTAATAAAAATGTTAAACAATGTTAACTACTAACAGTTCAAGTTTTTTAAACACTATTTATTATATTTCAGGGCAAACTGGTAAAAAGTACAGACTTCCTAGGCAAATGGTTGTTAATATATTTTGGATTCACGCATTGCCCGGACATCTGCCCTGATGAGCTGGAGAAGCTTGCTGAAGTTGTGAATAAACATGGTTAATTTTATTTTTAACTGTAATAATTTTTAATAGTAAGAGACCATTGTGGTATGAAAGATGAAAGTGACTAGGGCAGGGTAGGGAATGTTTTGGTGTGGATTGGTCATGTAGAAAGAATGAATGTTGGTAGATTGACAGCACAAATTTATAGAGCAAATGTGAGAGGTAAATTTCAGCATACATATCTCAATCAGAGTGTGGATGTCTTCAGAAAAGGACAGATTAAAAGTATGAAGAAGGCATGTATGAAGAGACTGATAGGACTGGAGAAGGCAATTGAGGTTTGACAGGAGCATAGCAAGTGGATGTCCATGGTCTCTCCTTACCCCAGTGGAAGACAGGCGTGATGATATGTATATGTATGTAATAACTTTTATACAGAAAACAACAAAATAGAGCAAAGTACACAAATGGCATCTATTTGTTATGAACTTATTACATTAATATTCGCTAGAAAACATTGACGACCTCAGTTTCCAATGGTTTCCGCTGCCAGCCCATGAGGAGGTTCTGGGTTCGATTCCCAGTAAGACCAATTTGAGAAATGAACCTTTCTAAATTGATTCTGGTCTGAGTGTTCTGGGAAGTATGCCAGAGTGAATTCCATTGCTCTGGTACTCAGTACAGGGAATTCCCCAGTTTGAGACCAGGCCATTGGTGTTGTTGTTTCAACCATTATTTATATATCTATTTGAAAAATGTTAAAATAAGGTGTAGGTACATTATTTGCTACATATGTTTTAAACATCGAGTATATAACAGAAATAGAGACGAAATAAGGGTCATATAATCCTTGTAACACATTAGCGATAACACCTCTTATAAATATCAACTCTCGTTTGCACTGAAATATAGACAGGCCAACTACTGACCTGTGTGTATGTCTCCGTATATTCCAAAAAATATTATGTATATACTGTAATAAAGATAATATCTCTAACAATGCCGTGCTGCTCTATTCAGTGGTGTAGGAAAAACAGCAAAACATCTAATTACAAAACAAATGGAATCACATTTCATCCGTAATTAAATATGTAATTTTGCAATTTTCGTCCATTATAGCAAAGCTCAAGTTAACTGGTCGATTTGAAGTGAAACAGTTGACGACACCTGTCGATTGTTTCGAACTCGGGCTAGCCAATCAAACAGAGCGCAGTTGTCACAGTAATGATATGGCAGAATAGTTTTCAAACAAATTAAATGACATTTCATCTCTATTTCTGGTTATATACTCGATTGTTTTAAATAACTAAATTTACTCTACTGTAACTGTAACATAAAAGAGTTTGTCTCAGTGATTTAGAAAAAAAATTATTGAATGATAAGACAAACTCATCGTTTTCCAGATGCTAATCCATCGGCACCACCTTTGCAGCCACTTTTCATATCTGTTGATCCCCAGAGAGACACTCCAGAGATTGTTGGGAAGTAAGTCATTTGTTTATAGTGTTTTGTATAAGCAATTCTAGAGATGTGTAATTGTATTTATGAGGAAGCAAATTTTTTGGAATTGGATGCAAATAATTAAATATCTACATTCTTATAAGTATTTTGAGGTTCTTGTGATTTGGTAATAAAACTATTTTTTCCGGATCTAAAGTCGCGTATATTTGGATATATTATCATATTTCAAGTTAACCAATGGCAACATTTCTGACTCTTACACACAGACAGATCTAGATAGACGCTGCAAGCACAGCAATTTGTATGAAAACCAAGGGTGCCACATTTTTTGTACCCACTATGACGTCACAAGAGCTATTTAGTGATGGAAACCTCCTTCCACTCGCTCTAGATCGATTGATTGAACGGAATACGCGTAAACACGCGCATTCCATTCAATTAATCGATTCTAAATGTAATAATTTTTGTTTAAGTATTTGTTAATTACAAGTAGTAGTAATAATAATATAGTAGAACAATACTAGAATAACTTAGTTAAGTCATTTATTTTACTTGTTTAAAAAAAATATTGATTATAATTATTAATACAAAGATCGAACACTCAGAAAAAATACTTTCGAGCCGGCCGTGTCAGACGCTTGGTGTAGCTATGCCACGGAACGAACCAGCGGACCTCCCGAATTTTTCTGTGCTTGTTGTCGTGTCTTTGTATTTGGTTTTTCAACGACTTTTTAGTCGTAACGCCATCTATGAGAAATCTATGAAAGTTAGGAGCTTAACATTACTAAATAAATATGTATGGTTGTTACAAAAATAACAGAAAATGACCAAAAAATAAAGTTGGCGTGGTGTTCATTGGAGGTATCGATTTTATATTTCTCTGTATTTTCGGCATAATAAAAGGAATGTGTCATCCACAGATACTGCAAAGAATTTTCTCCTCGATTGCTGGGTTTGACGGGCACGAAGGAGCAGGTGCAGCAAGCGTGCAAATCGTATCGCGTTTACTTTAGCGCCGGCCCCGCCGATGTTGACGACGATTATATAGTTAGTTAAATATGCAATTTTTACTGACAAAATAAATTTACCCATTGCCTGTATTTCTAATAGGCTGGCAGACATATTCGAAATGACTCGAAGTGTTTTGAGGTTCGCAACTGGAGCGAGTTAAAACCAGATTTCAAAATTATTTTAACCGACTTCAAGAAAAGGAGGAGGTTCTGCAATTATATGTATTTTTTTGTGTAACCTAAGTAGTGGCCCCATTCAATTTTGAAAAAAATATTCCACCTCTAAGGCTGGTGAATTGGGGATGAATCCAGTTTATTGGATTTCACGCACTTTCCGTTACCTGATTTCAATAAATCTTGGCAAATAGATGTGATTCCAAAAATTTGAGAATTTTTTTTTTCATAAAAACTTATTACCTATTAGCATGTTAATGTATATTTTGTCATGTGAACGTCACGGTTTTCTTCATTTCAGGTGGATCACACAATCATCATTTACCTAGTAGACCCAGATGGAGAGTTTGTAGATTACTACGGCCAGAACAGAAACGCAAAGGAGATATACGAGTCAATGCTCGTCAATATACAGAAATACCAGGCCGGCAAGAAGATCTCTTGGTTTTGAACGCGCAATGTGCATTTTGTTAGTGATATAGACATTATGATTCAAAGTATTTTTGGTTAAGCACAATAAATTGATTTTGTTACTATTAACATGTTTATTTCAAGCTAAAGGACTTTATTATCTGACGTAACGTTTTAGGCTTAATTTATATTGCGGCGGAACGGAATGGAAGCGAATTTTTGTAAATGATCGCGCATTCCGCGGAAGATTTTGGTTCATGTCTAGTTTGTACGTTACGCAATCGATAATAAAGTTAATTATGCTATGTACAATATCGTTACAAAAATTCGCTTCCATTCTATTCCGCCGCAATATAAATTGAGCCTTAGAAGTAGAGGTAATCGTGAAATAGTTCGTCCAGGGGAGTACTGCCTACCTGTTTTTGCCGCCAAGCAGTAACATGAGCATTGAAGCGTTTCGGTTTTTAAGGGTAAGGGTGCTGGTGAAATTACAGGCACATGGGACTTTACAACTTATATCTCTGAGTGACGAGCGCAGTGGCAGTGTCCCTCAAATCTTTGGAATTTAAAGCTCTGAGCGGCACTGCAACTGTTATGGACAGGCGTGTCGACTTGTTCGTCCCGTCACTTGGTAACATAAAAAAGTGAGAAGTCGAGATTTAGTAATATGATACATTGATGATTACCAATGGTTCAGAGTAGGGTGTTCCAAATGTGTACACAAATGTATATAGATAAAAGGAGTGACATGAGCCGGTTAAGATTTAGAACACGTCCGTCAGATTCCAGTTTCGTCAGAAATAGTTTTTTTTAATAATTTCAGTTCAGGTTCGTTAGGAATGACGAATAAAACCAAATGTTAATTACTTTTTCTAATATCGGGTTCTAATTGTAGTGGCGCCATAAAAGAATTAGATTAAAACGCTCAACATAGCCCCGCACTAGGGAAACCCTGTATCGCGGGTGCCATGGGCACACACATAGACAACCTTACACCCAAACTCGCAAAAGAAATGAATGTAGACCAAACAAATATTTCTCCCGGCTCGGGAATCGAACTTGGGACTTCTGCGTGGCAGTCCGGCGTGGTAACAGTTCGGCCACAGAGGCAGTTTAAAAAAGAATGTATTTTAATAAGCTACAAGCAATAGCTTGTTTTAACTAATGCGGATATTGTAGAAAAAAGTAATTAATATTTTATGGTTTTAACCATTCCATGTTACTACTTCTTGTATCTATATCGACCGTGGAAAGCGATCTTGTATATCTTTTTTATACCTATATTTGGAATCAGAAAAAAGTTGCGCATTTGTTGGTCTAGATGTCGTAATTCTGCGACGATATTTTTTTGTGATACGACTTCGGTTTTTGACACGGTTATTTGACGGAGCACACAATGGAATTTTTTTCTGATTCCAAATATATGAAAAACCGCCCTTTCCAAACCATCATTTTCTTCATTTTTCGAGATACGACAAGAATGCTTTCTGGCGTCGATATGTAGTATTTCTTTACTAATTTGGAGCATCCTATTGCGACCACTGATTACCAAAAAGCGATGATTAAAAATAAAACAACTATGTAATTTTTTATTGACAACATTTTACTCAAGTCTAAAAGTTGGCAGTCATTTTACTAGTAATCTTGCTTATTGTCACTTGTCCAGCGGAACTGTGTATCTGCACCAAGCTTTGATCCAGTTGATACAGTTTCACAGTAGTGCCTTCTAGCATTCTAACTTCACCTTCATTTACTGCAACTAAATTAACATCATTGGAGTAATTTCCACCTCCTGTCGTCAAGCACAATGCTGCGTTCTGAAAACTATTTTGTGTATCATCGACGACTATAAGTTCACTTTGGGCATCCTCATCCGGTAGAATGTATTCTTGTGTTATTTCTAGAGGCCCATCGTCTACATCTATTTTCGATTGGTCTTCTGTGTCAATAGAATTATTTATTATGATCTGACTCTTGATTTCTTTATCGAGATCAAAGCGCTTATCGGAGGCGCGGTCGGATGTATGACGAATTATAACTGCTTCTCTGTTCCGTTGCTTTTTGGTGTCATGTGATTTCAAGTGTTTGACCATATGAGATTTGGTCGCGAATTTCTGTGAGCACATCGCACATTCGAACGGTTTTTCACCTGTTGATAAATAATGATTAAATTTTCTAGTTAAATAGTCTCTTGATGGGTAATTTTTAGGTTAGTTTTCTGTACCTAATTTTGATGGTAATTTTTATTATTATTATTTTAGCATTCGAGTATAGTATCGTGAAGTAATTAATAATATTTCTGGTAATTACACTCGAATATTAAATAATATTTCATGATAATATTCTAGGATATTTAAATAACAACAATTGCCACCGAAATTAGGTAGAGCGGAAATAATTACCTATGGTCCAACCAGGTGCACCAGAGAGGTGGTCCACGGGCAAGAGCCAACGTTACCCTGATACAGCTTTAGATTGACCCAAAATTGGTTAGTAGGAAATTTCCCTGAGTGGGATTCAATTTGATATCAATACCATATGACACCATAGTATAATACGACAACCTAATGTAACTCCATACAAAAGTGTAGCGCAACTTAGCCGCGCGCCGTATGTGTACGGATGCATAGATTCGCATAATCTCGCGGAGCACTCGAGTTGCAAAGCAGAAATGAATCGCGATCGGTTGGTGTTTAAAATATTTTTCTGTGCCAAATTTTTAATTTTTTGGTTTATTAAGTATCGTTATGTAGAAATATATACAAATTAGCATTTATTTTCTATTTCATGACCATACTCTCCGCAATGTGCAAAAATGAAAGTCAGTAGCCATTTTATGAAAAAAAAAAAGTTTAATCCGTCTCCTGTAAAATTTGATTTAGTGCAGATTTGCGCTTTTTTACCAATATTACATACCTACGCGGATTTGCTCTATCCGCGACGAATTACTCGTATAACATCTTTCAACATTGATTTAATTACATCTGTACACAGCCTTATTGAAAAAATCGAAATTAAACAAAATGCTTCATTTACATTTTCCGAGTTACTCCGATTCCTTATTATTCTAAGTTAATTCGACAGAATGAGGTTCGACAAGGTACCTGTATGTATCCTGCAGTGTTCGCGTAAGCGCGCGGCAGTGATAAATTTGCGATAGCACACGCTGCACTCGAACGGGCGCTCGCCCGTGTGTTGCCTCATGTGAGCGCTCATGTCCATGCGAGCGAATCTGTATAAAACCATTCGGTATAAAATTACTATTATGGCTAATTTTTGGTCGTCTGCCAATTAAGTGTTAACAATAAGAAGTGTCACTTTATTATGAGAGCGTATTAACTAGCTAACTGGTAATGCGCTGCCAGCTGAGAGATTCTAAATATTTAAAGCATTCCGTTGCTTCTAATGTAAATGTAAATTTGCTATTATTCAATAACTCGGAAGCAATCGCCGTTGATTTATTGTTGTTTTTTAAAAAAAAATGGAAAATTATATTTTTATCTGATTCTTAGGTTTTCGCGGTTGTTAAACATTTGTTCGGATCTAAGTCGCGTAAGATAGTAGTCAGCCGTGACCATAGAATCTGTAAAGGATCCGAAACGTTGGTTTGTTTGAAAAACAAATATACAAGATCCGAAAAAATAGTTTCATTTCTATACAGGGTGACAGGTTGAACGAGACAAATATTCAAAAAGGCGAACCAGTAGCTGATATCTATACCGAATATGTAAAAAAACACTACCTTTTTTTTTAATTTCTCTAAGGAAAATAATGCTTCTAACGTTTTGTAATACTCTGTGCAAGATCGAATATGTAGCTAGTGCCCGCTACTCTTACCGGCCTCTGCGCACGTTTGGCTTGACACGCGGGAGTTCAATTTCCTACCGCTCAGCTGTTCTGTTTCATAGAGTAGCGAAAATGAAGAGTGTGTTAGTATTTGTAAAATGGCATGACATTTTTTTTCTTATGTTTAGGGGCGATTCTTTTTACATATTCGGATTAGATATCAGCTACTCGTTTGCCTTTTAAATATTTATCTCGTTCAACCTGTCACCCTGTATAAATATATTTACTAATTAGCAATGTTATAATATGTTTATCTTAAATGACCAAGACAACGATTTGAACGACTCCAGGTTCACAAATCCTACTGTTATAGGAAATGAGATGCAGGAGGTAGTTGACCAGTATGTTTATCTTTAGCGTATTCTATCGTTTGGTAAAGGGCATCAGCGACTGGGATGTGCAGCATTCGTTAAGGTGTTTGCGATCCTGAATTCGACTGATACTCCACAAGATCCGCTTATTCAACCAACGTATCCTACCCTGCCCCGACTTACGGTGTCTAAACATGGAGTTTAAACAGAAGACTGTGTATAGAGAGTTGAACCTCTGTTCAAATTGAGCAATGGAGTGTGCTATGGTCTGCATCAAACTTATAAATAGAATTCCGAAATCCGAATCGCAATTTTTTTATGAAAAATAGTGACAGACTAATATATTAAAACGAGGAATAAAAATAAAATAGCTGTTCTTGACAGTCATCTTCATAAACTCTCAAATTCATTTAAGGGGCAATGTATACGCGTCTATAATAAGATTCCGATTTATATTCACTTAGAGCATATAGGACAGGAGGCGCTATTAGCGTTATTTCCCGAACAAAACTTTCTGCCACTTTTTGAGGCTAGTACTACAAGCAAACAGGTGCACTCAAATGCAAAATTGAATTGTGTTTAGTGATGAAAGAGACTCAGTCTATCAAGGTGTTTTATAACGACTCGACTCCATTTTACAGGACTCGATTCTAAAATTAGGACCGGGGGTTCGCGTTTTTATTAATAAGACTCAGTCGTTATACGTTACAAATGTAACTGTTCCAAAGTTGGTGTACCGGTAGCACACAAGCACAGTCCTATGAAACACCAAACTATCCACAAACTCCAAAAGTACACTTTTTTCATATCTCGATATCTACCCATATGTAGTTTCACAAGTCGTTGAAACTTGGAGTTTAAACCTTCGGTTATTCCAAGTGGACACGATACTGACTTACAGCTTGTTTTGGGAGAATATCCCTACAAGTCACTACTACTCCTCAATATTATACACCACATAATTACATAACTACATCTCATTATAGTATTTGTAGATTTTCCTAAATTTAGTAACACATTTTCTGTTACCTTTTTTTTGTTGTTTTGGTTTCTGTCCCACTGAGGACAATTCTGCCAGTTGTAATTTTATAATTGACATAATTCTTGTTCGCTTATTCAAATTTTTGACTTGCTGTCAAATTCATTTTTTTCTCCTAATATTAATGCCAAAATTTATTTTTCAAATATGTATTCATTAATTAAATTTTTATTGAATTGATAATCAATTTTTTTTGTGAAATTACTCCACTAGTTTGTTATAATTATTAATACAAAGATCGTACACTCAGAAAAAATTCCTTCGATCCGACATCTCTCGCCAGGACTGGTAGATATAAAGGTACTAACTGGGTGATAAAACTTTCATAGAATTCTCATAGATGGCGCTACGACTAAAAATTCGTTGAAAAACCAAATACAGACACGACGCACATAGAAAAATTCGTGAGGTCCGTTGGTTCGTTCCGTGGCTTAGTTGGTATAGCGTCTGGCACGGTATGCAAGAAGACGTCGGTTCGAATCCGACCGGATCGAAGGATTTTTTTCTGAGTGTTCGATCTTTGTATTAATAATTATAACAAACTAGTGGAGTAATTTCACAAAAAAAAATTGATTATCAATTCAATAAAAATTTAATTAATGAATACATATTTGAAAAATAAATTTTGGCATTAATATTAGGAGAAAAAAATGAATTTGACAGCAAGTCAAAAATTTGAATTTGTTAATAATTTTAACAAAAATGTATTCGTTAAGAATAATTCAAAAAAGATTATGGATTTATAATCCAATTTTTTTCAAATTTGACTTAAGGTCAAATTTATTCTTGCTCAATATTCTTTTCTAATTCCTACGTAAGATTGTAAACGAACTATAGTCATTTGTCATTTTTTTTGAGTGCGATGGAACTATCAAATTAAGAAACATATCTAAAACGCTTACCGCGAAAAGCCAAGAGGAATGGAAAAAAAACATATGTAATTATGTAAAGATGCATCACCATCATACTTTTCGCTTCGTTCCTTCTTACCCCCTTACTCCCTTCTCTAGTACTCTTACTCTATTCTTTGCTATTACTCTTACTCTTCCCCTTCTCTGCTATTACTTACTCTATCCCTCCTCTACCACTTTTCTTATTTTATTCTCTGTTACCGCTCCTCTTTAACGTAATACTTCCAAAAAATCCTGAACGATTTTATTTTCTCCGGGCCCTCGGGTATTGTGACGGTGTGTCCTCCTTGCATCGTCATCCCACCTTTTTATCGCTTTTCTCCGGTTCCTGGCCACTCGTATTTAAATTTAAATTTTGAATTGTTCCATTCCTTTGCCTCACATTCTGATTTTGTTTCGTTCCATCGTCACTTCCTGCTCGATCGCGAAAGCGGACAGAGCTGTTTAAATTCAATCGCATCTAATTTTCTTTTACTATAATCATTATAATATAATCTAAATCATGTGTCAATTCTAATTGTATAACAGTCTACAGCCTTATCAGGTACCTATGAATACGTATCTGTAATTTAGTATATCTCGGCCCTTTGGGGGTAAGTGTACTTAATATCTTTATATTCATCATTAAGTTAGGAAGTGTTGATATCAATGTACCTGTTTTTCTATATTTAACTTTTTAGAAGCCTTTATACCTTTTTAGAAGAACCCTTTCAGAACTAAGAATGTATGACAACACGATTTGGCAGTTTCTAACGGGCTCATCTTTTCGTTGACGGACTTCGAGAGTAGTCTCGTAGATCACCATAGTGGGAAAAAGGCCAGGAGTAGGGCTAGTATATTGCGAGGCTTGGAGATGACAAATGGAGAAAAATGATAACCAAACTCTGGCCAAGATGCAGAAACATGGGAAGTCCTACTGCGAAATGGGTACACGACATCGAAAAAGACGCTAGTCGTAGATGGGCGCGAGATCGTGGTGAATGGCACTGTGTGCCGCGTCAGGTCATTATCCAGCAGTGAGTGAAGTAGGGTAGTAGATGATGATGATAAATTACCAAGGTTGTTTTAGCCGCACATTGAGTTTTGATGTTTTAACAATTTCACAACTTACTTTTTTCCACATTCACTACAGCTGTAAGGTTTTTCGCCTGTATGCGTTCGTACGTGGTTCTTGAGCGTCGAACCCGATGAGAACTTCCGCCCGCAAGTCTCGCACCTGTAGGGTCGTTCACCTGGGAGCATAATATGTATTTGTATTGATTAGGGCGAGGTAAAAAAGATGAGTTAAAGTTTCAAGTAAGACGATTGTGTACGGTGCTTACCATAGCGCAGACCAATCAAACCAACAGAATTACACATATCGTCGGTGTTTTGTAAAAAGAGAGAGAGCGCCATTTCGAAAAAATTCTCAGTTGACCTTGTTTTACTTTTTCACGACTGTTTTAAAATATTTATGTCCTGTTTTAAAATAAATTTTAAAACTTAAACTTAATAAAACAAAAATTGAGTTTTAAAATAGGACGTAAATATTTTAAAACAGTCGTTAAAACCTAAAACTCTTCCCTGAAATTTTTTGTAATATTACATGTAGTATTTTACTAAATATCTCAGCATATTTTACTAAAAAGCTCGTATTTGATCCAAAATGCTGACTTACTGAATATAAAATTTTATTAAGATATTATAATATCATATTATGTCAGTTGAACGTGGAGATGCGCAGACCGTCCGTTCTAGAGAAATGCGTGAAATGTATAGTGAAACAACAGTTTCATATAAATGTTTTTTCTCCTCCGGAATCTCACGAAAAACCACTTCATAGCTTTTTTCTTCACTTTTGAGATGTAGCTACTGCTACATCTCAAAAGCTAAGATAAACTTTTGACTATACCTTACTAGGTATAGTCAAAAGCTTATCAAGCTAGACACCATAATGATGCACTATTATACTTGATACTAGATACTTTGGACCGTTTTTATCGTAACACAATAACGGTTCAATTTAAATCTGAAATGTCTAGGTTGACTCTTAAACCCGTACTGCAGTTTTCTCATAAAACACTACACGCACTTGCGTACTTATGTATTTATAGCATAAAAATGACATTACCAGTATGCGTTCGCATATGCAGCGTAAGATTCGAGTTCTGTATGAATGTTTTGCCGCAGACGGTGCACACGTACGGTTTCTCACCGGTGTGCGTTCGGTGGTGCGTGCTGCGTGTCGACTCGTGACGGAACCTGACCGGAGGGAGATGGAATAGTTAGTTAACTTCGATAGAGATAACGGTAAATATTTTTAACTTTTACCATATTTAGTCGCTTTGTCTCTTCAGTCCGCTGTTTAAGATACACAAATACAAATGCTATACGACATTCTCATTTAATAATATATACAGAGTGTTATTTTAATAGAGACAGTATGGGGAAATCTGAAACCATAGAAGATACAAGGAAACTGTCTTAGGAACCATTAAATCTTTTTTGGTGAAAATAATTTTGGCATAGGCAATTTTTTGGTCAAGCGTGAGTTGCCCATAAAAATGAATAAAATTGATCAATTTTTTTAGTGCTAATCAGTTTCATTAAAGGAATATTTCATTGTATGGGACGAAAAAAATCGGGACAGCAGAAGTTGGTCAAATTTCATAAACTATTTTTTCATACAAAATGATTAAAATTGAAAATTTTTTTTTAATGCCAATAGACTCAGTTTCTTACAAGGATAACTTCATTGTATTGGAAGAAAAAAATTGGAAGAGCAGGTTAAGTTTAATAAATTTAAAAAAATTATACAAACAATTTGGTTTCACACATTTTAAGTTTCCTTGTATTTTCTATGGTGTCGGATTTCCCCAAACTGCCCGATTTAAAAATAAAACACTCTGTATATTATTGACGTATTACATCTATTTATAGGTTAAATCCGATTGTTGGCGGACGGAATGCTGAAGCACAGGGTGAAACTTTGTGGGGCTGGAGAGCTAGAAGGTCGGGGTGGAAAGAAACTGAGAGTGTTTGGACGTGGTAGAGTGAGCAATGTAAGTGTAGTGTGAAGGTGAAGATAGGAGAAGATGGAGACACGGAGTTGGAGGCTTATGCCCTCGACTTTTGCTGACTGAGGACAGAGGTGCAGAACCGGAGAGCAGCGAGGATGTAAGCTGGATAGTGGCCGTCGTGCGGAACCAGAGGGCAGCGAGGAATGACGACAAGTCGGTGGTACCACCGCAGCTGTGGATTATATCACTTTGTACTCGGAGGTAGAGTTCTACATCATCTTGAGCGTCGGCTTCAGTTACTCCTGCCGCTCCAAACTCGCTTGGTGAAGGCACACAGTCCAGGTAGGAGGAGAGTAAACGTGAAAACCAGGTTTAGCGTGAGGCAACCGAGGAACTGGTTATCAGGTAAGCGCGGTAGAAGTAAGGCCAGGTGTGGGGCTTCGAAAAGGTGAGACTTCGTATATTTACTAGATCTAGTGAAGACCAGATGCCTCCAAGGTCGGTACAAGAATGACGAGCGTTTGGTAGAGCGAGAGAGAGCATCGACATTCGAATAGCCAATTTTGAAATAAGAGCAGCCAGAAGCGGAAACGCTTCTACTGCTAATATTGCATATCAAAGGAAGAGTAATTTATAGGATAATCTACGGAAGAATAGGTTATAGAGGAGTAACAGATCTGTTAATCAATGCCAACAAATAAATATATTAAATACGAAACAAATATGTTTATAAAGTGAAATTAATGAAATAGTATGTAATTAGCACTGGAAAAACGAATAGCAAAATTCGGAGATACTATCAGCACGATAGAATATACCAAGATCTGGAGATCAAACTTGAAAAATGAGTAAACTTTCAAAGTGCCAGGAATAGCTTATAAAAGCGAATTTAAGTAATTTAGACACTAATATTATAGTAAATATTGGTTGGAACTCTTTCAGGAGTCAGAAAAAGTAAGGGCGTTTCCTAGAAAACGTATAATGAGAGAGATGAAGATGATAGGGGTCCATAGTTTTACACTAAAACTTCCATGGACGAACTGTTTCACAGGGAACTCTACTACTACTACGTGGGGCGCACTATAAGTTTCCGGAATAAATAAGAAAAAAATACTATAAATGGTCAGAAATGAATTTATTGTTTCCCAAAATATTCTCCATTAGCGTTAATGCACTTTTTCATACGACTGAACCAATTTTGAAAACATTTATGCCACTTCTCCGTGACAATCTCTGAAACATATTTTTCATTCTCTTCGACAGCCGTTTCAGATGATGAAAATCGTTGACCGCGTAACTGGTTCCTAATTTTCACGGTACAACGATTGCCCAAAGCAACAGTAGCCACGTATCCAGTTTTATTAAAAAGAAGAAGCAATCATCCGCTTAGAGGCACTTTGCACGCGCCTCACTTTGGTTGGTTTCGGCTCATCTCGAAAGACCCATACGCTCGATTGCTGCTTTGTTTTGGGATCGTAACTCCAAATCCATGTTTCGTCACCTGTTACTATGTCCCACACCAAATTTAATACCCCTTCGTTGATCTAGTAAGCATGGCATGGCACCAAGTGACGCGATCCGGTTTTTGAGTCTCAGTCAAATTGTCTGGGATCCACCGAGAGCACAGCTTTTTCACACCCAAATGTTTGTGTAGTATTCATTGTATTTGACTCATGCCTATGCCTAAAGATGTACGAATCTCATGGTATCTCACATGCCTGTCTGTTTTGATCATACGGCGCACAGCATCGATGTTTCTGTCGTTCACAGCAGCGGACGGGTGACCATCACGAAATACGTCACTGAGATTCACATGACCGCGTTTGAATTCAGCAAACCAGCTATAAATAGTCGTCTTGCGTGGTGCTTCATCGCCAAAAGCAGTTTGAAGCCGATCGAAGCTCCGCTGAGCTGTTAAATTACACTTAAAGTCGTAGGAAATCATACTACGAAAATTTTCACGAGTTAAATCCATGGTGATGTAAACAACCAACTTCCTAAATGACGCCACAAAAACAAGTGACAGTCAGATGAAACAAACTGTATTCTACAGCCAAAGAGTTCCATTTTCAAATGTTGTAATTACTTTTTCAATATTGTTTATGTAAGTGGCCAGTTCCGGAAACTTATAGTGCGCTCTATGTAAAACACAAGGGGAGCAGGTTTAAGTAAGTAGGTCCATATCCCAGTGAAGTTGGACATACCATCTAGTCCAGATCTATAGTAGCCATGAGGATTTCCTTTTTCCCCACGCAAAAAAATAAGGCAAAGGTTCATAAAGTAAATTTTCAGCCGGATTGAACGAGTTACCTCTTATCACAGTACTGGCAGGCGAAAGGTTTGCTATCTGTGTGAACAAGGCGGTGGCTAGCGAGCAGGCGCGCAGTGGGGAACGCCTTACCACATATGTCGCATACACAGGGTCGTACGCCGCTATGCCGCGATATGTGCGCTGCTAGTTGGCACGCCTCGCCATACCTGTGATACCACCACAGTGCAGCTTAATGAAGAGTTGTTAATTATTCTTAGATTCGACGGTCATAACCAAACATCGGGAAAATAGAATATATTTAATAATAATAATAACGCACACATAGTCATAGGGTCAAACTGCCACAGTCGCTGAACGGTTACCATGCTGGACTGCCACGCAGAGATCCCGGGTTTGATTCCCGGGTCGGGAGAAATATTTACAAGGCTTATACTTATTTCTCTCGTGAGTTTGTGTGTGCTATGAGTATGTGCGTTATTATTATAATAAATATGTTTTTACTTCCCTATTTTCTTTTATTATCTTCGCTATTCGCTATTGTGATGATCATATTCTCGTTTGACATTTAAAATTATAATTTTGTGACATTTATAATATGAAATAAATTAATGTACTCTGTTCTTGCACTAGTGATAGTGCGGGGCTATGAGTGTGTGCGTTACTATTATTATTATTATTAGCCCCACACTAGGGTAACCACAAGAGAAATAAATGTAGGTCATAAAAATATTTCTCCTGGCCCAGGAATCGAACCCGGGACCTCTGCGTGCTAGTTAAGAATGGTAACCGTTCGGCCTCGGAGGCAATTTCGCACCCGGGGTTTCTGCGAATTACTTATACTTATAGGAAATAATACACATATAATGAATAATACCTGCCTCTGATATTTCGGAATTATTGTATTGCATTTTCTATATTTGTGATTAAAAATATAACTACCGAGTTTTTAGGTTAATCGCGATTGCTACACATTGCAAATTAAGCTATATTTTTGTGAAGCCGGACTGTTACGCTTAACTTACATCGCCGCGGAACGGAATGGAAGTGACTTTTTATTACCATAGCATAACGAGCTTTATGTCAACTAGATACGCGCCAAAAACAGGTCGTGCGTCTCGGAGAATTCTTGCGCATTCGCAGCCGGATCGTAATGCTATGGTTACAAACATTCTCTTTCAGTCCTTTTCGCAGTAATGTAATTTGAGCTTTAAACTTAACTCTTATCACATAAATGGCAGGCGTGTCGCTTTTCAACTCGTTGTCCGGTGTGTGTACGAGTATGTCGGCGCAGTGCATACAGTTCCGTGAACGATTTGCCGCACGCTTCGCACGCCCAGCGCTTCATTGACATGTGTCTCGCTACGTGCCGGCGCAAAAGCGCACGCCCTACAATCAAACGTTATTATAGGAATTGTCACATCCCTGTAATATAAATCACTGTGATTCAATTCAACAAAGTCAATTTCAAATTCCGTATTACACGTGATATTAAAGCCATGTGGTTGGTCAGTTCCAATTTTATACTGCACTATAAATAACAACTATCTCCGAAAACCCATCTAGTGTATGTGAAATGCACAATAGGCGCTGTTCAGTGTTAATAAAAATGTTGCCTAAAATTATTCAAATCTGCAAGAATTAATGTTTGTTCTTAACTCGCGCCAATCCGTTGAAAAGCATTATATGAACTGTTTATGTATTAGCGTACAGGTTTTTTTTTTCACTTAATGTCAATAAAATCATCGTTAGAAGTAAGATCAGAATAGAATCTTTGCAATTAAAATCCAAGGTTGTATGATTATAACAAAATAACTATAAAAGGTCTGGTGAGGTCTGGAAAGGTGAGGTCTTTCCTCAAAGCTCTGTGAAATTACATCTATTTGCCGTTATTGAAATCGGTTAACGGAAAGTGGGTGCAATCCAATAAATCGGATTCGTCCCCTAAGTTGACACCCTTAGAGGTGGAATATTTTCTACAAAATTAAATTATTGTAATTGTTTTAGTAGATTGAAACAAAACAAAATAAACGCACAGCCAATCATGATACCATGGACCTTTCTTATTCTAAACAGAATAGAGTTGGATTTTATATCTTTAATTTTAGCTGGGTTTGCGCTTGACTTTGCTCTGTACCTTTAAACTCCTTTTCACATTCAATACAAGCCCACACGGGACCTCTGCTATGCAACGGTAGGTGTAGTTTGAGATCATGGTCTGATGAGAAGGTCTCCTTACAATAATTGCAGGCGTGAGGAAGCTTCGCGTTGCTATGATTACGCCGATTGTGATTGCTTAGAGCCTTTATGTTGGGGAATCGCTGCAAAATAATTTGTTCCTGAGTTTAAGAGTCTATACTACCTCAGCCCGAATTAAAATTTTTCCCGTATTACTACGGTTCCTTTTGCTTGGGTCGAGCTGTACGGACAATGGCTTTATTTCAGAATTATTTTTTTACAAACGAAATGAAATTTGAAAAATGTATATCATATAGGTAGTATACCAGCAGTTCTATTTAGTTCAGTTGATATTAAAAAAAATATTGATATATGTAAAGTACCTATAGAATACAGCGGTTTTCTTGTAAAATTTTGAGGTAAGTTTGTGTTTTTATTTCTATCGTGAAAATTTTTAGGAAACGTGTTTTCACACCATATAGCAATCAGTGTATATCCTCAATTTTAGTAAAAATTTTTTGCAAAATTATTAATTCAACACTTTCACTGTTATGAGGAATCTACCAACGCCATTTGAAGTAGTATAGACTCTTAAAATATAAGCAATATAGTTTGGTACAATTATTAATAAGAAGAACACGAAGAAAAATTCGTTCCAACCAGCGACCACGCCATGCCGTGGCTGACACTTATGTCATGATTCAGTGTCACATTTTGAATTTGAAGAATTATTTGAATCGTGAGAAAAAAATTAATACTTACTTTAGAACATAAGGTACAAACAGTTGACTTCTTTTTCTTTTTAATTTCCTTTAATAATGATTTGGAGTCTGCAAAAACATAACAATTGAATGAAATTTTAATTGTGTTTTGAATTACGTATTGTCAACAACATCCTCAGCATTATATTCTATTAAGGGGGACAAGCAATAACTTGTAAAATAAAAGATGTGCCACATGAAAAATTGCGACATTGACCTAACAGAAAAGGAAAAAGCAGGCAGCCGATCGCCTCAAATGGAGATCTTTTGTAACAAACAAAACATCGCAATTTAATGGAGTTAGATATTACAGATGACGAGCTCAAAGCCCGACCGAATAGTCGTAGTAGCAATCAGCCACTACGACTATTACAAGATGTAACTAGTTTATTTGTGACATCGAGTGTATAACCAGAAATAGAGACGAAATAAGGGCCATCCATTCTTGGCAACTCATCAGAAAAATGGGACTAATATCACTTTTAAATATCACTCATGTTTGCACTGAAATCTCAAATTAGAAAGCTGAAATAGTACAGCGCCTCCTAGTACAACTGACCAGTGTGTGTGTCTCCGTATATTCAAAAAATATTCTGTATTTATTGTAATAAATAGAGTAAGTATCTCTAACTATGGGTGGCTGTTCCATTAGGTGATGTGGGACATCTAATAAAAAAACAGCAAAACATCTAATTACAAAACAAACGGAATCACATTTCATCGGTTATTAAATATGTAATTTTTCAATTTACGTTCATTATAGCAAAACTCAAGTAAAACTGGTCGATTTGAAGTAAAACAATTGACGACACCCGTCAATTGTTTCGAATTCGGGCTGGTCAATCGGAGCGCAGTAATTATTTGGCAGAATAGTTTTCAATGAAATTAAAAGACATTTCGTCTCTATTTCTGGTAATATACTCGATCATTTGTGGTTGGTACTAAATAAGTGAGTAGTAGTCTAAATACAAAATAATAACTACTTTTAAAATGTAATTTGTAGTTGAATTACATTTTGCATAACTTTGGTGACTACTGCATTTAGGACTTAGAGGGGCAATATGACTATATTGATAGTTAATTACCAGCCTTACTTGTAGTACTAAATTGCACCAACTGCTTTCTGAAACGAAATAGGACCTGTCAATTTTTGTTTATAATTTGCGACAGTTTATCGCAAGTATTACATAAGTTGGGGGAAAAGGCTTACTCTTTGCTCCTTTCGGCGCCTTGCAATATGCATAAAGTTTCATCATCACTTAAATCTTCTAAATACTGCACATCTGTAAGTTAAAAGTATTAAAAATTACATAACTGGAAATAAAAAGGTGTTGCCACCTTTATTTGAAAAAATAAATAAATAAAAGGAATCAGCCTGTTTGAAAAACATTTCATAAGTCAGATGTAGGTACTTGGTGTAACGGGCTGGTGTAAGGCAGATGTTACAATTATGAATACAAAAATCGAACACCAAGAAAAATTTGTTCAACCTGGCAGGACTCGAACCTGTGACCACGACAAACCAGGGCGATGCTAGTTGAGTTATTCTACAAAAATATATTTATGAAAATTGCAATGGTAAAATCATGATATTCAATAAAATCAATATTATGTTGAGGAACCATATACCAGCCTAATGTTGTTATGAGATTGTATGAACTAACGGAAAGCTCAGTGTCTTATTAACAAAACAATTAAGTAATCTACCATACATTTGTGGAAAAAGTAGTTGTTTTTGGTTCAGACCACTATTCTTATAAGCCAGCAGTATTATTATGTACCTTCAGTCATATCTTCATTTTCCTCCTTAAAATCTTTCAAGTTAGATCCATCAATGTCATTTTGTTCTTTGTTTACTTTGGTTCTTATACTGAAATAATACATTGTGTTTTAACACTTTCTATTCTACTATAGAAACAATCACTTTCCAAGCAACAGTATTAAAAGTTATATAAAAATCTTTTTAACATTGTGCTATGTTCATTTAATAATAGTAATAAATTATTGAGCAAGGCCTAATTACTCAATAGCTAATTAAAATTAAACAAGGTGCAAAAAGATTAGGCTGTAGAGATTAATTCTAAACTAAATGACCACTGACTTCCCGTACTAGAAAAAATGTGTATTATGGGTACTTTACTAAGTGCTACATTGAGTATATTTTGCTACAACAATTACATGTCTGCCCAATTATGTATTTGTTTTTAGAATTAGTGTATTTATTAAGGTGACAGATGTCACAACGAAAATCAAAATACTGAAGTGGCGCTGGTGTGGACACACAGTAAGATCACCAAACGAAAAGTGGTCAAAAGATGTGACACATTGGTATTCAAGAGATGGAAAGAGGTATAGAGGAAGGCCAGCAAGAAAGTGGGAAGACGATCTGCCCCGAGAATTCGCCGGTCGGTACAAGAACGTTGCTTTTAACTGCCTGCGTGGCCCATCGGTCACCATGCCGGACTGCCATGCAGGGGTCCTAGGTTCGATTCCCGGGCCTCGTGAGTTTGGGTGTAATTTGTGCTTGTCTATGTGTGTGTCCATGGCACCCACGACACAGGGTTTCCCTAGAGCGGGGTTATGTTGAATGTGTGCGTTAGTATTATTGTTATGGAGAAATATGGAGGAAACCTACGTCACGGACAACTTGATTAGAACCAGAACCAGTACTGATTTAAAAAAAATCTAGTTTTAAGAGGCCTGAAACGTTAGGGAGTTTATGTCGGCCTCGTAATGTATGTGTACATATAAATAAATCTCCTATTTTATCTGTCACTACTTCCATGTGAGGAATTGCTCCTCATCAGAAAGCAAAACCTCACATGGGGGTGCTGATGTTAGAATTAAGAGTTATTACTGTTAGAAGTAAGCGTTAGCTTAAACTTAGAATTAATTAAGAAGTAATCAGTGAATTAAGGCTATTTTTATTATTTAGTTTAATTTATTTTTTAGTATTTATTATTTAATTGAAGATCTCTGTGATTGTGTGACTTCCACACTGTTTTTCATGGTGTAGCCATCTCTAAGGTCCCGGGTTCGATTTACGGCTAGGACAATGTAGAAGACAAAATTTTCTATATTGTCTCAGGTCCTGGGTATTTGTGGTACTGTCATTGTTTCCTATTTCCATAACACAAGTGCTTCAAATCGAGTTCTTAGGTTTTGGGTCATTCCAGCAAAAATGATACCATGGTTCAAAACAATAAATTACACATTTTTTACAGGTTTTAATTGTATGACTAGAATACGCCCAATAAATCAAATCGTTAGAAATAAATGAGATTTTTCGGATATTGTACAATTATTATATTTTTATCTTCATTAACGCAGCCATAGTGTTGTAGTCTATAGTGAAGCATTTTTCCTATAATGTTAACAACAATTTTCGCGCTTATTTGTGAGTCTTTCTAAAAAAGTTATTGCCGTCGAAGAAAATAAAATTTATGAATTTTAAAACAGTGATAAATGATTGCATGGAAGTATATATGGTGAGGAGTTACTAAAGTTTCCATAAATACTAATTTCAAGTCCCACCCGTCACAATGAAACATATATATTTTTATTTTAACCAATAAATATGCAATCTATTGGCATTTGCTTTTGTAAAAGTACAATTATGCTAAGGGTCATTATTTTGGCTTGGTTGGTCATTGTGCACATAAATAGGAATGTAAATATTAAGATTTGAAAGTGTGTTCCACTCGTCACTGCACTGGGTGGGACACACTCCTGAACGTATTTAATTTTAATAAATGTTTGTATTTTCATGGATTCGAATATTTATGATGTTTACTAGGTGTAACAGTTGCTTTAATTTTGGAGTTTAACATTGATGTGTTAAATTGTGATGATTGGGACAACATTTTGTGCCAGGTGGGGTAAGTTACATTTGAATGCATAGAATTAAAAAAAAAAACACTTTATATATATAGATCCATCATTTGCAAGCAAATTTTTTATAATTCTTCTCATAATTAAGACATTATAACACATAAAAAAAGACAATTAAAAAGTGACAACATTTTTCCTGATGATTTTTAGTATCAGGAAATTCATGAAAAGTTTGTCTCCACTAGTTTTAACTATATATTCAAGTAAAACTTCTAAAATTCGATATATTTTGACATGATACATAATCTTCAAGGATGTGGCATGATTTTTCAAATTTATTAACGCATTTTACATGTGTCACTTTGATTTCATAGTATAAGATAGTGCTTCTTTGAAAGAGCCCGAATTGTTGGTTTGTTTGAAAACACAAATATACGCAATTTCAATCTGGAAAAATAGTTTCATTTCTTACAAGTGCTTCAGTTACTTACTTTGGGATCAGAGCAATGCATGAGAAGTTGTCTAATATTTATTTATTGGAACCTTTAAAATTTGTCCAGCATAGAATATATTTAAAAAAGTACATACACTTCATCACAACATTCTTCTTTGGCAACAAATTCTCCCTTCAGCAAGGACCTGAGCATTTGGTCCGCTTTGACACACTTGGTTTTGAATTCATGGCTATTTATTAGTTGCATTTTGCATACATTGCAGATATTTGTTGGTAGGCCATCATTTGGAAGCACCTGAAAATTATAATGTTCAGTTATTTGTAAAATATTAACGACCTTGCAGGAATATATTACACAACAACTTTTGTTCTATGATTTATTACAAAACATAATGATTTTACCAAAAAAACTTTAAATTTTTTGTTGTTCTATTTGACAACAACTCACTTTTTAGATATGTGCTTTGTAAGTTCAAATGTGAAAGAGTCCTGCATCGCGTTTTGCATCGGACGGGTGAATATCAGTTAGCGCTTTCTATGGTTACCACACAGAGTTTTCATAGTTTAGAGTGTCCATTTAAATATTTTTGTTTTTGTACAAAAGTTGTTGTTTATGATGTTAATATCACCATCATCTCTTGTCACCAAAATTTTAAGTTTATGATGTTAGTAATATAGTTCTCAGCTAAGGTTGGAAGTACCAAAGCTTGCTTATATTATTTTTACGAAATTACCGTACATAGTAATTTTTACTTGAGATTGGCAGAATCATCGACTATTTCGACAGGGCCATAACATTTAAAAGAAGAAGAATATCGCCCTGCGAGGTTGTTAGTTAAAAATAACCCGGTATTTTTTGGTCGACTTTCCTCAAATCTTTTTTCTATTTGGTGATTTACGTACGTGTATGTACCTGGTAGGTATCATTAAAATAACTTACGTGAATTGCTGTGAAAGACGAAAATAACTCTGGAAGTTTATCACTATCTTCGGAATGCACTACCGAGTACATTTCTATATTATTCACAGATAAACATATTCGACACAGATTTTGGACATTGAATTCATCGGAACTAAGATATTGGAACAAATTTAAAGAAATTTCTATTTCAGTACACTCGTCTTTCGCTGTGATTTTGTCGCATTCTTCTGCCTTCAAATCCATTTTAATTTTGTTTTTAAATGATATTTTCACTTTAATGATGTTACGAGTTAACATACATTGTTTATAATTCCCTTTAAAACATTACTTTACGTGAAATAAAAGCCTTTTCCAATTACAAAGTCTATCAACATTATCCTATCAGAGTCGCAGATGTCATATGGTAACTAAAGGCTTTTCCACACAGACGCACAATACAGTTTGGAATACCGGTAGTTAGACTTCAACAAGAATTCCGATGGTTTGTTATGAACTTTCTACACAGTGGCGACATTTCATTCGATATATCGCATCGCGTAATTACGGCTTATCCACGATTATAGGCCCACTTGTTAGTAAATACAGATATTTTTAAATTTATAACTATTGTTAATAAATACAGAGACAAAACATAAAAACACAATAAAACACATTAAAAACACATTATGTCGGTCGAGGTGCCGCCGACTACCCCATCACCTCACCAGAACCAGGATGAAATGACGAAGCATCGGCGCATTGGGCTTTGCCGCAAACGTTTTCCGGATGCTGTTATGACTAGAACTCAGTCTAGAGAGTAGTGTCGCCGTCTTTTTTGGCATCACAGCAAAAAAGTGATCTACTCACGCTTGAGCAAATATCGACGATGCTACAACGCCGCGGTAGTTCCAACAGCATTCTGAAACCATTATTATATTGAACGCACAGGGCACCGAGTGCCTTCTGCGTATAGTTTAACCCACAGACCACCCGTGTAGAAGGACTGACAATACGCCTTGAATAAAGTTATTTTGGCTTCCTCACTACAACGGGCGAATCTACGTGCCAACATATTACATCTGGCAACCAACGCCCTACATTCCCGTTCAATATCAGTTTGGTCTGTAAGATCCGTCAAGTAATGTCCTAGGTATTTAAATCTGCACACCCTCTTTAGTGTCACCTTGTTAAGGTTAATTCTACGTTCGTAAGACATCACTCTACCGGAGATCCCAAAATTATAATATCTAATTGAAACTTCGCAACAATATCGTCTGCGGTCTATATTGTACTACATATAGTCAAGGAGGCATTTAGCTTGACACTTTGGGCCATTTTTATCATAAGGGTCATACAGTTGATTTTAAATCTTATGTGCTAAATGTGACGTGCTGTTAACCCTATACGAAATGTAGGCAAAAAATCTGCCCGGTACTTGGCACCTGTTTAAATGATTCTTAACTTGATATTGACACTTTTAATTTTGACATTGACAGTGTTGTTTTCGTTCAAAACGTTACTGTATAATTTGCTTTTTTCCATCCTCGTAGGTAATTTGATATGCCCACGATAATATGCCTTTATTCAAGAAGCTTAGCCAAGAGAAATAAGAAAAAAAGGTTCTTTAATTCTTACTTTTTGGGTAATGAAAAGTTCCTGAAAAATTTGAAAAATTGGGAAATTATCTTAGAGGATCTTAAGAGGATGGAAAAAATAGTCTAAGTAGAGGATGGAAAAACATAAAGGAAAATATAATATCGAAGGTTCATTTAGATTATTATGTTTTACGTGTAGAAATATCTTTTGAAGTTTTATTTTGAGTGAATTATTTATAAAATAAACTTGTTTAGCTAAAAGCCGTTTGTAGAAAAACGAGATTTAAAATGATTTAAACAGCGAAAACAACCTTTTATTAATGGCTTCATCGTTTTCGTTTAGTACAACACGACAGTACAATAGAGTACAATATCAACTTTTTTTGAAAATTACAGGAAAAATATTGGAAAAACATCCGGAAAAATAATTATTTAAAAAAAATACGATTTTTTCAAAATGGAAATTTTTCCACGACCCAACACTAATTTTTACTAAGGGTCGTATTCCAGAACTATATGATTTCTAGTGCTTTGAATCATACTCAAGTCAGGGCATAAGTATTGCAGTGAGCACTGAAAATCATACTCAAGTCTGTTCAAATCCTGACTTGAGCATTGAGTAGAGTTCTGGAATACGACCCTAAGACTAAAACATTTTCTACCTACATAGGTACCTACCTACCTATATGACGAAATCTTAAAAACGGCGCCTTCAACCAATAAGCAAAATTAGGTAAGAAATTAGAATGTCATTGTTAATGGGACTTTAAAGCAGGCAAAGATTCTTTTTGGTGACATCAACATGTTGCCGTGTGCTTGGTACTAAAATGGCATCTATTAAGTCACAGAAGCAGAAGTACCCATAGACCAGTGGTCGGACCAGCGCGAGGAGGTCTACTTCACACAGGTAGAGAAGAGGAAGTCCACTAGACGTTACGTGTGGCCCAGCGACAGGACCGAACCATCTGTTGCGTCCGGATATAGGTATAGATGTCACCGCTCTACTTGCCTCGATTGCATTGCTCCATATAATCTCGAGTGTTATAATAAAGAATAACTTAAAGCCAAATACACTCTGAAGGTCGAACAGTTGCAGTCCCGCCACAACGTTGGTGAGCGTGCCGACCGATGTCGCTGATAAGTCGCAGTTCGTGTATATTAGTTATTTTGTTTTTATATTCTATTACATTGTAGGTATGTCAGTCTTCAAGGAATGTATAATATGGATCATAGTTGTTTGATTTAATCATCATCATCATCATCAAACCATTTCAAAGTCCCACTGCTGCGCAAGGGTATTCTCTGAGGCGAGGGTTTATGTCATAGTACATCACGCTGGCCCAATGCGGGTTGGGGACTTCACGCCTTTTCCGAGGATTGTGAACCTTCTTCGACGTACAGATTTCATCTCGAGGTTTTCTTTCACCGAAAAGCTCATGGTAAATTTAAAATAAAATTTCACATCAATTCCGAGAAACTAAGAGGTGCGAGCCCGGATTCTAACCCTGCTTGAAAAGGCTATTATAGGTCAAACCAGGCTACCACGGTTAAATTAATAAATTAATTAACATATTTAATATAATAATTAAGACATTTAATAAATTAATTCAATCTATCAATTTAATAAATTAATTAAAAAACATTTGCGACAAATGTGTCCTGCGTTACTTTTGTTTACGGTGAGCCGAGTCATAAGTAATCACGACAAGTCATTAGTAATCTAGGTAGTACTTATGCCCGGACAACACGGGGCTAGTTTTTCTAGCTAGGATAGCAGCTAGCACTAGTAAGCTAGCAAGCTAGTAAATCGGTCCTGTAGCTTAATTTTGATTGCCTCTCCCGACCGGAAACTGCGTCTTTTCCGAGTCGAGGCGCATAATTCTGCCTCGTAACGAAAAAAGGCACAACTATGCGTACTTTATATAGCAGTTGTGCCCTTTTTCGTTCGCAGAATTGCGATTTACAACTGGCCGATTGGAAACTTTTGTCTTTTCTTATCGGAACAATAGTTGGTTTAACCCTCAAATTAAAAACATATATACATACATAGCAAACAGGTTCATCTTCTCGCTCAGAAATCCATCTTATTTAAAGACTACCCGATTGGATTGATTCCGGACCGGTACATGCAGGAACGGTTGATACCATATATAACATACATACATAACATGATGCCCCTAAATTTTAAGCCAGTATTGCAGTGACTAAGGTAACAATACGTATGTGGATAATAATGAAGAGTTTTCGTATAACAAACACTATTACTTCTATGATGATTTTTAATAATTTGCCACATATTTTTTGTAATGCTGAATCACGCAGAGATTTATTTTTATACTATGGAATAGGGGCGTTTCACAGAAATCACCTCTTCATGGTACAATTGTATTAATTTTGATTAATTACTATACTCAGTTTCGGCATAACTGTCTCACGTGAAACACGTGGTCAGCGGTCGAGAAAACAAAATGTGTCCTCACTGCATGCTAGTAGACATGTGTAAGTAATGTGAGTAATATTACAAAGGTAATATCACGCGACAGGGTACTGTTATATCACGCATCACTTCGGAAAAATATGCATTACTCATAACATTACCCATTACATAGACCATGTCGGGGTGCTCTGGGAGTTTCCCAAAATGAACTAAATATAGTAAATATCTATATTAATAGCGCCACCCAGCAAATTTTCGACGTACTACTTGATCGGACATTGCTAACCGTGCCGTAGGGTTACGTAGCGCTGCTGCCAGGTGTCGCTACTAACACTCATTACGCGAAACAGTACTCGGCGTGATGCAATACTGTGATGCTATGATGCAATGTAATGCTAACATCACGCGTGATGTTCTCATTACGCGTGATGTTAGCATTACGCGTGATGTTAGCATTACGCGTGATGTTAGCATCACGGAGTGATGTTAGCATTACACATTACCCGCGTGATGCATCGCTCGGAAACAGTACACGCGTGATGCATTACCCGAAACATTACCCGCGTGATATTACCTGAAACAGTACACGTGATGCTTATATTACGCGTGATGCTTAGAACATCACGGAGTGATGTTTGTTTAATACTATTATGCGAAATGCAATGTAAATGCATCTAATTTGGAATATTGCAGTAGAACGATGTTTGTATTAATACCCCAATTATTTCATAATTTACTAAATGGTGTAAAAGGATGGAACCGTAGACAATTTAAAATGAAATTGCATAATTTGTTAATCAGTGCTTGTGCTTGGTTAAATATATTTCGATCTTTCTTGGTAATCTAGAAGGAGATGGATACGCTTTCATACAATCAATCCAAGATGTAAAAACATGAAGGTAGTATCAGTTAATTGCGTAGGTATTGATGTACCATCACTGAAAATTCTGCGAATTGAACTGAAAGCAGAGCTATAAGAGATTTAGTAAAAGTGAGGTTATGTAACAACTTATAATTAACGTCTGATTTTTGGAGTGCATTTGTTATTTTACAACTTACTAGATGGTGTAAACGAATTAAACAGTAGACATTTAAAATGAAATTGCATAACTTGTTAATCATTGCTTGATTACGTGGCAATTTATAACGTAAAATTTAACCAGGGTGAGTGTGGGTTGCCAGACGGTTCGTAATATTTCGTAATTTTTGTTTGATTCTCTCTAGTAATATGTAAGTAGATCTTGTTTATAATGCAAGTTTATGTTCTAGAAATGCGTTTTATAGGTTGTTTTAAAACGCATCGCTTTTTTAACCGACTTCAAAAAAAGGAGGAGGTTGTCAATTAGTCGGTGTTTTTTTTTTTTTTGGTTGTGTGTGTTACACTGTGTGATGTTGTGGGTAATAGTAATATCACAGAGTAATATTACTTTTACGGAAAGGTGATGTGATATCACATTACTTTTCGAGGTACTGTTTTGCGCACGTCTACATGCTAGCCGATCGGATCTAGCTTCGCTATCCACACGAAACTTGTACACAAGACAGGATAGTAAAATCAGTGGTGGGGGAAGCTAGTACAGCGCAAATAATAGAACCCCATCCTTTTAATCTCAGCTTGAGATGCTAGGTTACTATCTTCCTGACAAGCATAATAGCCTAGAAATGTACTTCTGTACATACGAAGCCAGAATTACTAGCTTGCTAGCTTACTAGCATTTGCTTGCTGTCCTAGCTTGAAAAACTAACCTCGTGTATTCCGGGCATAAGGACTATTTTGTGGCTTCGCAAAAATTTTTGAATTATTAAGATACTTAAGACAATGGACCATAAGTCACTTATCTACAACACTGGGTTGGAAAGGATTCGTAACACAGTTTTAAAAGTTTGTAAGGTTCAAGGTTCTCATTGTAACGGGTCAGTAATATAATAGTAATATATAATCGCACTATATTCTCACAATCAACCTAGATTTATTGTGCTAAATCTTTGCAATCAACTATACACTTCGTAATAGAGCAATACTAATATTGCTGTTACAATCTATGAATGCATACAATTTCAGTGGGTGTGGTAGAAATAGGCAAATAGCCGCCCATTAGTCAAAGGTCACATCATCAGATGTTGTTATCAGCTTTCTTTAAACTTGATTACCGTATCAAACGAAGCAAATATTATTCTGTTCGGTGTCATTAACTCATCACTTGATTAAGTCATGATCAGTTTGGAATAAAATTTTGATGTGCGTCATTACAAGCATTACTTCGCAGTTATTGTTACGTGGGTGCTTATCGGTTTGTTGCTGTTGATTAAGGAGGGGATGAATTCGTTTATCGCTTCAAAAGTCTGAAGAAAAATTTTTAATGAAATGTGTCTGTTGCGAAGTTTTCATTTGGTTTCCTTGTAAGTATAGTAACTATCTACCCGTAGGTAGATTATCGTAATAATTAAATAGTGAGAGACAGTGGAAATATTTTTACTCGCTGATTTATTGCTTATTTTGTTCAAGACGTATTTTGCCCCCGTGATAAGGAATAACCTTTGACGATAACTAGAAATCTCTCGAGGCATGGCGGGTGCGCGGGCGCCGCCGACGGCCGGGTTTCGGAGTGGTCAGTCTCGCATACTCGAGCTACGCATCCAGGAGGCTGCATCGACGCTACGTACCTGCGGCCTGTGCTCTAATTTTCGTCTTTACAAACATCAATATGTTCATTGGCATTACCTCCAGTGGAGACAACGTGAACTCCCATTACGATTACCTGATTTGAACGAAGGAGAGGTAAGCAGTTTTGTTTATCAGGGGTCATAAGATCGGTCAATTCAGAAAAATAATTATTATGTAAATATATACGCTGTTATTGATAGTGAGAAGTTTATAAATGATGTTCAGTTTCTGTGACTAGACCGCCTTCTCCGAAGCAGCACATGCTGCTATCTAATTTTCGGAGATTAAACTAACTATCAAATTGATCAACAATGGTTGATCATTAAGTAAGTTTCATTTTATTGGACTAAGGTATAAAGTTAATTATTGCAACTACAACTAGATATTTGTATTGTAGCTCCTGCTGGCAGAATTTTTCACCCCTCAGCGACATGGCCCTTGACTTTATAGCAGGATGTATTGGAGGTATGCATTAACTGTAAATGTTTAAATTCGTTGTTTGAATATGAAGTGCTGCGTTTTACAACTTATATATTTTTCCAGGCTGCGCAGGAATTATAGCCGGCCATCCTTTGGACACTTTGAAAGTTCACGTACAGTCAGGAAGAGGCAGTGCGTGGGAATGTTCGAAGTCGTTGTTGAAAGGTGGAACATTAACGACAGCGTATCGAGGAGTAGGTGCGCCATTAGGTGGAATAGCTGTGATCAACGCCTTAGTTTTTGGAGCTTATGGAAATACGAGGAGAGCTTTGCCGAACCCAGATTCAATTAAGACACATGCGACTGCTGGATTTACTGCTGGTATATTGCAGAGTTTTGCATGTGCGCCAGTCGAGCTGGTCAAGACGCGACAGCAACTAGCTAAGATCGGGGATCCGATACCCCAGAGTGCGTGGTCTGGCGCACGTTATATTTTAAGAACGGGTGGAGTAAAAGGTCTCTTCCGTGGCTTAGGGATAACGATGGCCCGCGATGGTCCGGCATTTACAATTTACTTTGCGTCTTATGAAGCGATGACACGCGGCGATCAATCCGTTATGAAAGTTTTCATGGCAGGTGGATTAGCCGGAATGTTGTCATGGGTTGTATTGTACCCTATAGATGTCGTCAAGTCCAGATTACAGGGTGATGCTGTATGTAAATACAAAGGATCGTGGGACTGCTTTATGCAATCTATACGGACTGATGGTTGGAAATGTATGGGTCGTGGATTGGGTGCTGTGGCGCTGCGCGCGTTCATCAGTAATGGCGCATGCTTCACAGCTGTAGCGTGGACCGAAAGGGCGTGGCAGTATTGCAATTCGAATTCCGCTGTGCACTCCCTGGTTCAAGCAGCTGGTATTGGGGAAGCAGTCTGTCACGACAAACAAGAACATCATTATGATATTTGATGGGATTCGTCGAAGGTGGATATACAACTATCGAGAACTTATTACAATGGAGCATGGTTGTAATAAGTTCATATTTTTATTTAAACAAATATGTTTTGAACAAATGATTGTATCGCAATTAAACATGTTGTTGTATTTTTCCCAGTGTACAAATGGCATTATAGTTGAAAATGCAAATATATTAATTTATACGGTCGCTAGAGTATTCTTATTTTAAAATAACAACAACAATATCTTAATACCATTATACCAATTATACTTGTCAGAAAAATTTCAAACAATTTTCAAAAATATTCCAAAAATACAGATGACTCACATTATGAAAATATCACAACATTATAAATATGCCAAAATTGCTAAGTAAATGTATGTAAATATTTTAAAAATAAATGACTGTAACGTTGTAATTTCACATAATAACTTCACTATAGGTACTGTAACTAAGACTTTTATTTTTATCTTCTTATTGATTATTTTTATCTTCTTATTAAACTTCGGGAAGGCATATCGTAGTACAGAAAAGTTTCAGTAACCTGAGAACAAATTAAATTAGTAAATAAACCCGCATAAAAATATACATACAAGAATTTATACGTCATCGCAACAACTTGTAAACAATCATAAAATACAAAGAATCTACAGTCTGCACTGACAAAGCCAGTGACGAGCAAGACCAGTAAACTTTGCCAACAGCATTGTTACGGGTTGAAAAAAATAGCAGTAACTAAAAACGTGCCCTTGCTATACGTCTGAAATATTCCAAAAGTATCCAACTATCTATGATTAAATAACAGAGATAAATGCTGCAAAAGATTATGTAAGTTGGCGCCGTTTTAAGTAATACCTACCGGACAATTTTATCGTCATAGTATTTACGGATCGATCAACACAAGCGTCACATTAATCAAGGAACGTATTGTCGTGGACACCATATATTTATCCACTGCAACCATATTGGTTGCAGTGGATTTATAAACAAGCCGACCGCAATAACGATATTTTACGTCCAAAATGACATGTAGGCTTGCATCATTATTTACAACGAGCAGGTTGGCTGACAACGCGGACTAGATCACAAACAAAAATCTTTAACTGTGACAAGGCTTCATAATTAAACCTATCACATAGTTATTTTTTTCGAGTCAATCTGTTGCCAGCATAGATTTAGTATATCCAAAATCTATGGTTGCCAGGCATGGGAATGGCAAGTGGACATTGCTACATTACTTGCGCAGCTCATTCACAAATACTTTTTTCTCAATTTTCATTGATGTTTGCGACGTTTGACGATCTTGATACCCTTGTAAATGACCAATGACAATGGACTATTCGGAAAGCCAAAACATCTTGGCTTGTTACGATAACATTTGCACTTTGATTAAATACCTACGACGCTACGAAAGCACACAATAATAAATAAATAAAAAATCCAAATTAAATTTTTTACATTTTATGCATTGACTTACAATTATATGGACGTCGGGTCCGCTGTAAAAAGTGTCCGAACTTATAGGGCGTTAAAATCGTATACAGAGCGTCATTCACGCTTTAGTCTTCGTTTGTTCGACTGACAGCGAAGCAAGCAAAATTAGACAGTACTGCGATGACATTACAATTTAAATTCAACGTTTTAGCTTATTCATATTCTTTTACATGTCACTACGTTTAAATAGGTTGACTTGGGATATTTTTTTCGTGGTTTTTGCATTAGACCCGTCGTCCATTTATTTGTAAGTCAATGATGTTATGACAAAAATTCTCCAATGTTGTCAATCAAACGTCAACAAAACGCGGGACTTTTTTTCTGTTCATTATCGTCAGTTGTGTAAATATTCCTTAGTTTAACTATTTTATTGACTAATAGAAGTAGCTACTGCACAAGTAGTGTTCACTTAAATAAGTTCATTACGATATGGACAACACTGTAGTAACTAGTAAAGTCGTCTTCTCGATGAAGGTTTCAACAAAAGTTTTGTAGCACAGCGGTTTGGAATTTCGTGTTCTAAGGTTCAAAGGATTTGGAAAAGGTTCCGAGAGACAGATTCTTTCAGAAGAATGCCTGGTTCTGGAAGAAAAAGATGTACATAGCATAGGAATGATCGATTTCTTGTCAATCAAGCCCTAAGAAATCGACGAAAACCTTACAAAAACCATAAAAATCACCTACAAGAAGTGAGAATGGTGAGAGTTAGCAAATGGATGGTAACGAGGAGACTTATCAAAGCAGGTATACATTCTCAAAGACCAGCTAGAGGGCCAAAAATACCTTTTTAGGCATCGCGCGTTAAGAAGACAAAGACAATCTTTTTAGAGCTTTAGCCTTGCTTAGTACTTACCTAATGCTATATACAGATTTGCTATACGTAGAGTAACAATTTTAATTGCCTGTTATTAAATCCTTGTTCTTCTTTATATACTTATTAATTCTTCAGTCGTTCTACATTTGTTCTAAAGTTATTATTGGGCTTATTGCAGAGTTCCGGTAACGAGCGGGGTAGATATAAAGCGGCGTGTTGAAATCTACACTTGGCCACCCTATGGGTTGTATAGAAAGTTTTAATTTCAAATGCTATGCTTATAATTACGACAAATGTTATTGTTATTATTGAAACAAAGATCGAACAAAAACAATTTTCGATCGACTTTGTCAAACTCGGGCTTATCGCTTTCTTAAAGGCTTCCCACGGCTTGTCCATCAATGGACCGCGCTGCGCGAGTTCGCGCCAAAGCGCCGTATGAAGAGGGCCGCCCGAGTGCGCTTGTGGTCGCCCGTGGTTGCCTGTTAATGGATCCGCCATATGTCAGTAACTTTAATGGCGGTATCGCGCCACGAGTTTGGGAAGAAGGCCGCCCTAGCACGCCCGTGGTCGCCTGTTTTTGGATCCGCCGTTCCTCGGTAACTTCAATGGCGCGCTGTGTCATGCGCCGTGGGAAGAGTGCCGCCCGAGCGCGCCCGTGGTCGCCCGTGGTGGTTTCCAACGGCGCGAGCTGCTGGAAAAACGGGCCGTGGGAACCCGCCTTAACAGAATTACAGAACTAGCCAGCAGATCTTACGAATTTCTTTATGTGCCTGTCTAAGATCTTTGTCTTTGGGTTTAAACAGCTTTTTTACCCGCTTCTCATAGGTGGCGATATGCGAGACATATGAAAGTTTTTCTTTACTCAGCCAGGTTGCCTTTAGCAAAAACATCTAATATTCAACAAAATAAACATTACACATATTCATTCCAATTACCCGTGGGGTAAGACTGGTGCACCAACACTCGTGGGAAGCCAAGGCAAATTAGAAGGCAAGAGCAAATGTTTTGTTGTTGTTTGTTTGCGATGTTTTTACATAATGATATATAATGAAATAAATATAACAAATGTTGAGCTGATTATTACGAGGAAAGACTCTCTTTTTCTCGCCGTAAGCACGTCTTTGCAATAAATGCGAGATTTTAGAAAATATTTATTGTTACCAACGACGGGTCGGCAATAGGAGCGCGAGCGATCACTCCTGCTCCATTGGCTGGGGGGGCGGCGGCGGGATGGGAACGTCGTTGTTGTTGGCCTGGTTCTCCATCAACCCCAGCTGCTCCAGCATATCGTCGTTGTCCTCCATAAGGTGAACCTGTTTTATGGTAAATTTATTTATTGATAGAGCTAAAAAAGTGAGTTTGCTATGGAAATGGCTTTTTAAAATAAAGTTTAATGATGAATCTTAATTGATGTGTAGTACAATTATTATTCTCGATAGAGAATTTTGATTTTTTGTGTTTAATAAGTAATTTCACAAAAAATAATTTAATATCATCCATGGAGTATTCCATGGATTTAATAATACCTATTACAAAATAAATTTTCACCTCACTAGCTCGGAAGGATTTTTTTTTCATTAGAAATCTGTGGCTTTCTTTCTCATTACAAATCTGCCAAAAACGTTTTGGGAAAGGTTTTAGGAACTTGACGATGGAATGTGGTGCACCTAACTTTTTCTTTCCATAAAAAAAAAAACATAACTACATGTTAACTACGCGATTTGTCGTACATAATTTATGTAATATAAATCCGTTGGTATATTTTATTTTTGTTGACATTAAATTGACAACGCTAACTAATTTTGTTTATAAAAGCTGATTTGTTATAGTTCAACTGTTTTTCTTTCATCTACCGTTTTCCTCGCTGTAGTGAGGTGAAAAGTTGTGTGTTTCGTTCGGCAGCAAACTTGTTATGCGTTTCGTGCCTTGAAACCCTCGCCACGCTTAGGATTCTATTTTTTCAATCTTAGAATTCTTCGCTTCCTCAGGTTTCAATACAAGCACTCGCGTCAAACAACATATTTGCAGCCTTGATACATTGTAAGTATATTTAGCTTAGTCTACCGCACTATGTCCACAACAATGCTTATTGCCCGTTTACTTGACAATAACATAAGGTAAGTTTGTGCGCGTTTTTTGTCCAGTTGTAAGGTAACAAAACCTCATCCCTATCTCCCTCCTCGGCCGTCCAACTCCATATGAAAATACGGTCAAATATCTAAGAGTTACATTCGAGAGCAAGTTGTCGTTGAAATCATACGTGAGAAATTCCACGATCACGCCCACTTCGTAATGAGACGCCCTTCCTCAATAAACGGAGCAAGCTCTCCCTTAACGCACCCTTTGCTTTATCACTCTTATCATCAGTCCGTGAGACATATTGTTTTGTTCCCAGCTTGAATAGTTTGAAGTTTGTTGCTATCACCAAATTACTATTACGGAAGAATTGGCATTTCAATTCATCCGCTACACTTTTATTTTTTTATTTCACATGGACCATTTAAAAAAAATGCCAATATCAATACATAGATACAGATACATTATAATTACGTCGTAGCACTCCGGTGTTGTCGTTTGTGTGTCCACGATACTAACTAATAAGTATCGAAAATTATAATGAATTATTTATGTAAATAAATTGTTATTTATTATACGTATAAAGTCGATATTAATGATAACAATAGTCACGTACATACAAGAGCAAAATCATTTACAAGTTGTTGAGTTTTCATGCAGTTTCATCCTGATATGTGACCTTAATGTCATTTTAAGTGCTATGATAGAGACGCGCAATTATTGAGCTGAACGATAATAATAGCAAAATTAATTAATAGATTTAACGTTTACTTGCGGTACATTGAACCAAAGAGAAAGTGTCACTTTTGTATTTGATAATTCGAGTGCTTATGTAATAAAGTAAAATCTTACTTCATGTAATAAAAAAAATAGAGATTTCGAGATATGGTTTGATTTGGTAATAGCTGCAAGTAAACAAGTGTTTTTCTAGCAGATATTATTTTTGAATAAGAGTGGAATATTAAATCTTACTTGCTAAGCTTACTAGTTTACTTTAAAAGCATTTTTACTATAAAAGGATTACAACAAAATAAGTGAATAATCATATTTTGTTGAAGATCAAAATGTTTGGCATATTATTATAAAGTTTACATATTTGCTTAATTTTTGAAAACTCTTTGTATTAATGACTAGTCAATTGAATAAAGCCTTAAGTCAAATTAAAAAACGTGATTTGGACATTTATTATCGCGACGTTTAGTTCCGCGAAGATTCCGCAAATTATTGGAACCTCGTTATCAAATTGCGACCCCGTAGGTTAACTTAATCTTTTTGGCACGAATTCAACGTGCTTCACTACAGCGTGATCATTATCATTATCAAGTATTTAAATTTGGCTAGTTTAAAAAAAGTCATTTAGTCGGTTCTAGTCGTAAAACTATATTCGATCGCATCGCGTTTGTATCGCGTTTGCAACGCGTTTGCATCGCGTTTGCATCGCTGCTTAAAGTCGCGAAGATAGACGATTAGCGACTGCATGCCGTTTGCATCGCTGCTAAAAGTCCCCGTGTGTAACTGCACTAAGGTGGCACCAAATTTTTCAATCATGGGAACCACATCTTTTTAGTAGCAGTAGAGCTCCTTGTGAAAGCGGTGCACCTCATTTGTGTGAAAATCAAATAAACTAATTTTTATAGATATATAACGCTCATTTAATGTAATTTTCACTTCGACTAAAGTCACCTGTAACTTAATTTCACATTTTGTAATTCTCGTTTGTATTAATATTCCTATTTTATAAGA